CGGCCACAGCACACCTGGGCCATGCACACATCACACCTGCTGGCGGCCACAGCACACCTGGGCCGCACACACATCACACCTGCTGGCGCTGGGCCGTTACCTTTTTGAAGACTTCCGCACGGAGTCTGTTACTCTGTAAGATCACCCTTTTCTTCTGTTCTTCTTTTTTCTTTCTGACTTCCGGCAAGTTGTTGTAGATTCTGAAACAGATCCAGGAAACACTGTGAATGGTAGCAAGACAATGTGTGTTGGAGGGGCCTGCAGCCCGCCTGTCAGAGGCGCCTCCATCTCAAAGGGGAGCTCTGCTCACGGGTTCTCATGAAAGTCCACACTTCCTTGTAAAACCAGGGGTTCCAAACCGACTGCCTAGCCATGCCGAGGGCCAACTTGCCCCCACATGCCACCATCCACTCGGCGTTTGCCACCCTGTGACCCAGGAAAGCAGCAGCAATGGACGGAGGAGCAGGACTGGGTTGGACTCACACACACACACACACACACACACACGTGTGCATGCGTGTGTGTGTCTACCCCTCAGCCACTGTCTCCTACGTAACCTGCTTCCAAACACAATGCAGGCAAGCGGAGGGTGCTCATGTCGGGGAGTAAAATTGGGTGCTCCCAAGGGGCAGATGAGCCCCCCCGGGACCCTCTTCCAGATGCTTCTTTCCTACCTCCCAACAGAAGAGTTTCCGCACGGATGCCAGACAGAATTCTCTGGAATCCACGGCAGGCGCGCTGCCTGTGCCCGGCTTTTGCGTGGCCACCCCTGGCGCTTGGTGAAACGATGGGTGAGGCTCAGCCGTTGAGCTTCTACCCAGGAACCAGGAGGTCACAGTTCAATTCCCGGTCAGGCACAGGCCCGGGTTGCGGGCTTGGTCTCCAGTAGGGGGCGTGCAGGAGGCGGCCGATCAATGATTCTCTCTCATCACTGATGTTTCTCTCTCCCTCTCCCTTCCTCTCTGACATCAGTATAAAAAGAAAAAAAAAAACCAAAAAACACCCAGCTCTTCCTCGCGTTGGAAAGCCAGGCACGTTCTGCTGACCGGGAGCTGCCGTGGGTAACAGTCTCGCCAAGTGGAACAAGGCTGGTGCTGACAAAGCGGGCACCTGCGTTATTGTGGTTCCTGGGCCCTCGGCTAATGGCGCGACATGGACTGTCTCATAGGCCGCACCTGTCGGGAGAAGCGTGGGGTCCCGCGGTTACGAGGTGAGGAGCCCAGGCCCCAGCCAGGTCAGGAGACTCGCGGACTGGATCTCCGTCTGTTTGACTTGGCCCAGCACTGTCCCCCAGCCACGGAGCACAGTGACCCGGGAATACCGGCGCCTGGCACGGAGCCTGGCTCACTGTGGGCATCCGCATGGTCTGAATGGAGACAGGAGCCATCGTCACCTCCACAGGGACCCATCCCCTGGACACTGAGCATCAAATCCCCGAGGGGTGTTTCAGGGGACAATCCCCCCACTCACCCTGGGGCCTGTGATGCAGAATTTATTACATTTTATGTATGTATTTATTTATTTAATCTTCACCGGGGGGTATTTTTTGCATTGATTTTTAGAGAGAGTGGGAGAGAGAGAGGGAGAGAGGGAGAGAAGGGGAGAGGGAAAGAAAGAGAGAGAGAGAGAGAGAGAGAGAGAGAGAGAGAGAGAGCGCAAAACATTGATGTGAGAGAGCACATTGATTGGCTGTCTCCCGCACACCCTGACTGGGGCCGGGATGCGCTATCCCTAAGCCACACCGTCCAGGGCTGATGCCGTGTTTTCTTAAAAGACCTTCCTAAGTGAACTATGCTCATCCACGTAATAGACCACTTTGCAGAGTTAAAACCCGTGAGGAGAGCCACCCGCATTCATATCTCCTTACAAGGCAGCCCGCACAGACGTGTCATAAAGTGAAAACGTAAAAGCAGGCCGTGGGCAGATGAACTACAGCGTGGTCCCTCTTAGGGCTCAACGCCAGATCGCGGGGTCGGTACAGACCAAGGATGGCAGAGGCGCCGGGGAGGGTGCGCAGGGCTGGGACCTGGGTGTGTCTGGAGAGGGACCCAGAGAGCGGGTGCTGGGAGGGGGGGGGATTAGCGGGTCACAAAGGACTTGAGCTTCAGCTCCATTATTTGAACGTTTTAAATGAAAATGTAACATAGCAATATAATTCATAACAAAGGATGCAAAAGAAAAGAGCACCAGTGTGCCCCGGGGTGGGGGTGCGGTCTCGGGGGCCGGCCAGAGCCCACCCAGGCAGCCCACGGAGAGAGGGAACTGGTCTCGACTCCATGGAGACCGGCCTCTGGCGAGGGGAGCGGCCTTGGGGGCCATCCCCTCGCTGGTCTGTCCCGTCCCAGCCTCAGTTTCCACGTCAGCACACGCTGGGGCTGTACGCTCTGCCCGCGGACGCTGGCCTGACCTCGATGATTTCAGTCGGACGGCGCCCTGAGAGCGGCGTTGGGTTTGGGGACCGAGAGGGAAGGATTTGGCGGAATTTCCCCCCTAAATTGAAAGGGAATGCTTTTGGCATGAGGTCTACACAACTTCGCACTTCTAACCCAGCCAGCCGCACAGCGCAGCGGCCTTTAAAAAACCTGCTAGGACGCCGCAGAGAAGAGCAGGCCGTTAATGGGACGGTCCCCCTTCGCCGCCCGCTCGCGTCTTTATTTACAATGAGGTCTCCTAGCCCTGGTCCAAGTTGGCTCATGTCACAGGGACAACATAATCACGGCCGAGGCCGGGGCTCTGCCGGGGGAGCTGGGTCCGGCCCGCGTGGTGCTCTCTCTAAGTGCCCTCTCCATCTGGCTTAATTATTATAATTCTTCCCAGCGCGAGGTACTTCGTTATAAGTTAATGGCATTTTGCTTGCATGAGCTTGGCCGACATTGCCGAGTTATCACATTTCCATGAGGAGGCCAGAGCCGGGAAGAATGGAAGCCTTTGTGTGCACCGGGTGGGGGAGAGCTGGTGGGCGTCTAGAATAGCAACCGGCGGGTTTGCTGGCATCTCCCCACCCAGCCCAGCCCAGCCCGCCCGGCCGGGAGGGAGGGAGGGAGGGAGGGGGCGCCAGGGAGCAGGCCCGTGGCCCTCAGTGGCTTTGCGGCCCCCACGTGCCACCGGCCCCCACATGTGGGCCCTTTTCCGCAGCCCTGAGCACCGAGGCCCTCGGGAAGCAGCTTCCTCCTCCGCATAAATGACCTTCAGAGGCGCAGGGACACAGAGCACCGCCCAGCGCGACGCGGGACCTGCAGGCGTGGCCCTAGGAGTCCGGGGATCGCTGAGAGACCAGTCGCCGGTCGGCTCAGGACCCAGGACCCACCGCTTTCCTACGGATTTCCCACGAACGGCATGAAGACCGAGGCACAGTCCCACGGCCACACTTCCCTGCGCCAGCTTTCCACGTTCACGGCCAAGACGACCTCAGACCTCACATGGGGACCAGAAACTGGCCCCTCGGGGCAGCACGGGACCCACGGAGCTGCCCTCCCCCGCCCCCCTGACGGCCACCAGGTACCTCTTGGATCGCATGTGCATCTCCTTCTCCGAAATGCACCTTTCCTTGGGTTTGAACAAGTTATCTGCAAGAAAGGAGAGAGGAGCGTTCACGTCAGAAGGCACGGGGGCTCCGCACACGCTGTTCCCGCTATTCCTCCAAGCGCCGGCCCGTCACCAACACTGAGGGCACAGCCGATGCTCACACCATTGAGCCTCCCGCCCTACCCCCCGACTGGTCTTGGCCATAGTGAACTCTGGGCATGAGGTGGGCATCTAACACAGTTTATGGACAGTGACCTCCCCTTTTTAAAAATATATTTTTATTGATGTCAGAGAGGAAGGGAGAGGGAGAGAGATAGAAGCATCAATGATAAGAAAGAGTCATGGACCGGCTGCCTCCTGCACACCCTCCACTGGGGATGGAGCCTGCAATCCAGGCCTGGGCCCTGACCTGGAATCGAACTCTGACCTCCTGGCTCAGAGGTCGACGCTCAACCACTGAGTCACGCCGGCCGGGCCGTACCTCAATTTTAGAAACAGAGCCGTGGTCTCCGAGGGCGGTGCCAGGCGTCACCCTGGCTGCAGGGCCCCGGTGAGCAGTCGCCCCCCCGCCCGTCCCCCCCGGAGCAGCCACGCCAGGCGCTGGTGCCTCTGAGGACAGGAGCCCCCGCCGCAGCGCATGAAGAGTGGCGCTGGGACACGCCAGCCCCGCCCAGGCCGCTTCGTGGGGGGAGCCGGCAGCCACCCTGCGTGTGCTTTGTTCAGGAACACGGCGATCCCACCACGAGTCCCTCTGCCTGGAAACGCTGCCTCACAGAGTGAACGGGACCGGGAAAGCGTTGTCAGCCCACGTGCGTGTCTTGCGCACATTTTCCCTGGAGCTCCGCTTCCCCTCATTCACTCACAGGAGAGGGGCTGGTGGCTGTTCCCCCCTCGCCGCTTGAGTAGAGGCGGCTTTCTTTTCTTCTCCATAAAATGAGAAGGAAATGCCATTTCTGTGTTGCTGGAAAACCCGTTTATTTTTAAAACCCTGTGTACCTGGCGTTCGCCTCTTTGTTGTGTGCGAACTCCAGGGCCTGTTGCTAATTTCAATGGCAAGGCCGGACCTGCGTTCGCCTTTGCTTGTTTGAAAGTCAGCAGACAACCAGCTCCTAAGGTGGGGGTCCTTCTGAGGCTGCTCTGGGGGCGCAGCCGAGTGAAAGCCAGTCCCGCCAGCCATTCATCTCGATAAACACACGCGGGTGTTTATTATGACCCTCATCTCACGCGTGCGCAAACATGCACACACACACACACACACATACACACACACACACACACAGGGACGGGCACAGAAGGTGAACCATTCTCCGCTCCGGCACACACGTTCCCGAATTCAGAGCAGGAACACCAGCTCGGGCCGTCCAGGAAAAGACAGGGGCGCAAAAACACACAGAGAAGAAGAAGAAAACAAGAGAGAAAAGATAGGGGCCGGGAGCTCAGACGTGGACTTCCCCAGGGCGCATCCCTCCGGACGGAGCCAGCGATGAGGAGGCCCCACCATGCGCCCCAGAGCCCGCCAACCTCCCTCCGATTTTCCTGATGGAGAACCTTGGATGCCAATGGGCAGGCGAGGCCCCAGCTCCCCCTACAGGAACCGACCCCCAAGTCAACCATGTCTATGAAACATGTTTGGAAAGAAATAGTCTTAATGTAACGCCTGGGGCCATTCTGCTCTGTCTCTCAGACCCGGGAGCACTGTCCCCAGCCCCCACTCCCAGCTCCCTCAGGGGCTCCTGATCATTCCAGGCTTGGTGTACACGGTGAAACCAACACCATCGCCCTGCCCACAGGTCCCCGGGGCAGTCTGGTATCGCTTCCTGGCATTGCCAGAAGAAAGGGCGATGAGAGTAAACGGCAGATTGAAATGCCAGTTTCTTTAGCAAAGCGTGGCAGGCTGAGGTCAACTACCTACGAGCAAAGATTCCTAGAGCAATGTTTCCAAAGCGAACTCTTAAGAATTAGATAAGAACATTCCCAGGTTAAAAAAAAAAAAAGGAAGAATAGGATTAAATAAACTTAAGCAGTCTTCACTGTTGCAGGACTTGTCAGTGCCTTTAGCACACACCAGGCATTGTCAACCTCCAAAAGAACACAGCGTGCGAAACATTTCTCAGAGGCATCTGACGGGATGATCTTTCTCTGAAATGCATGTTTGCTTGCTCTAGGCTTGAGGACATTAAGGAGAAAAGTGACAAGTGCAGAGTCATAGCTCTAATTAGCTCCCAGTTTTCAAAGTTATTTGTGACTATAAAGCAGGGTTTAGTCTATCCGTGCGTCTGGGGAAAAGCTGGTGTACTTGGTCCACATTTTCTAAGAAATGTGAAGGTCTGTACCCATTTCAAGGGACGTTAACCTTGACAGTGGCTCCAATCCTTCTCCACAAAGCAGCCACGTCTCATCCGCGTCTGAACCACTACCCAAGGGCAGGAGACGTTGTGCCCCGATTCCAGGGTTCCCGTGTTTTGTAAAGAACCACAGAATACGGTGATTGTAGATGCTGCATAAACATCCGCTCTCCTTGCCACGTGGATTCACTGACGTGCATCATAGGAGAGAGATCACGTGGAAGGTAAGATCGAGGCAAGGGGAGAAGAAACCCTTGATGAAGTCATTCCTCACCATTCTGCAACTCTGCGTTCACCTACGTTAACTTAGTCAGAAACAACCTGTCCTTTAGGTCCATTTCCAGTCACGGACAGGAATTGGTCTGTTTTCCTCCAGGCTTCCTAAAAACACACCACAGAAGCCCTTCCTCCTGGGGCTGGGAGGGACGCTAATAGTACTGGACATGCAGATGTCTTTGAATCGGGAAACAATCCTTTGGTTAAATGATGCTTCTTGCTTCCTCGGGGGCTGATGAAGTAACAATGTACTGTTATCTGATAAGCACATTTTAAAATTCCTTTGTGAGTAATACTGGGAAAACTGCCCCCAGATATTTATTCAGATGTTTTATGGAAAAGCATTCATGAGAGCAGACCGGGTAGGGGAGGGAGGGGGCAGCCGGTTCTCCCAGCTGCGCGGTGGGCAGCTCAGGGCCTCACCTGGCGCTGTCCCCTCCGTCCCAGATCTGCTGGGTCACTTCTCCAGGGAGACGCTCCGGGAATGTAAATCCGTACTAGGACCTGCTCCAGCCAAGACCCGTCCCTGAGGCGGCTCTTTGGGGGCAGGTGTTTGTAGCGCGGTCCCAGCCAAGGATCCCCCTGTCCCCCCCTGCCCCCAGCCACCGAGCTCACCACTAAGCGGATGGGGGACGGTGAACTGCCTCCTGCTGGCGCGGACGGGAAGGGGGCCCGGCTTCAGCCCCGGGCTCTCCTGGCGCTGCGCCCGCCTCTGCTGCGCCATGAGCTCCAGCTTCCTCAGCCGCTCTTGCGAGCGAGAGATGAACTGCGGCCTCCGGGCCTCCAGTGCTTCCTGGGGGAGCCGGGGAAAGAGATTATTTTTTAAATATATTTTTATTAGAGGCCCGGTGCACGTCATTCATGCACTGACGGGGAGGGGGTGTCCCTCAGCCCGGCCTGCACCCTCTTGCAGTCCAGGACTCCTCAGGGGATGTCCAACTGCTGGCTTAGGCCCGCTCCCCACGGCTTCTGGGAGCTCCTGCATTGAGCGTCTGCCCCCCCGGTGGTCAGTGCACGTCATAGCGACCAGTCATTCTGCCATTTGGTTGATTTGCTTATTAGCCTTTTATTATATAGGATTGATTTCAGAGAGGAGGGGAGAGGGAGAGAGAGAGAAACACCAATGATGAGAGAATCATGGGTTGGCTTCCTCTTCACGCCTCACACTGGGGATCGAGCCCCTCAACCAGGAACTGAGCTGTGACCTCCTGGTTCATAGGTTGCTGCTCAACTAATGAGCCAGGCATTTCTAAGAGAAGGGACCCAGGGAGGGGCACATCCATCTGACTGGCCAAGGAGCTAAGCAGGAGAACAATTCAGGGACCGAAAGTGTCAGTGAGTACTCTGGTCCCCATTGCTTCCCACCGGCTCACGGAAAGGCGGCCCAGCCTCACGGGTGGCATAGGCCCCCCCAGGTCCCACGGCCCCTGCACACGGTGGACTAGAACCAATCAGGGTTGTGAGGGCAAAGGCAACCGTCTACCACCCTTTCTTCCACCAGCCACCCTGCCCATTCGTTCATTTCCCACAGTCCCAAAGCGGACGCCCTAAATTCCATCTCCCAGGGACCCGAGGGGGAGAGATGGGAGCGTCCTGAGCCCCTCGCTCCTGGGTGGGGGGTGAGGGGTGGGGGCCTGGGAGCCTGAGGAAGCTGAGACCCAGGTCGTCCGCCAGCGTCACACATGTGCCTTTTCAGGAGAAACGGCGATCGTGCCCAATGGACGTCATGGTCTCCGTGACTCACACTGTGACATAGGGGCCCAGAGAGGTTAGGGCACCTGCCCAGAGGCACACAGCCTCAACGAAGGCAAGACAGGTCTCCAGCCTCAGAGGCCAAAGTGAGGTCACGTGACCCCAAGAGCAGTCTCCCGTGGCGGGGTTGGGTGTGGCATGCGGAGGGCCTCACCTGCAAGGTCAAGGAGGGGCTGGCTGGTGCTTGCTGGCACTCGGAGCAGCCCTCCCACAGGTCGGGGGTCTCCGGCTCCTCGGTGGGCTCGGGCGGCGC